AGAAAAGATTAGAAAATCATATTTTTCCGGTTTTTATGTTAAACTCACATAACTTATTCTAGCTTCCGGACAGACCAGTTTATCCATTCTTCTTGAGTTACATTTTATTAATTATTCACCTATCAACCCTGACTGTGTGTGTGCATTTCCTATCTTACTCATCACATGCCTGTAACATATTTTTGTGACTGTAAATATCGATTAACGCTTGATTAAATTTACTTCACATGAGTTCTCCGGTCCATTTCACTTCCTTCTCTCCGTCTGTTCGATCAACGACTGTATGAAATATACGTATTCGAGGGAGCATTCTTGTATCCAACTTATTTAATTCCGTTATTCACGCAATTTAAGTCGATGATTATATACGAGGATTTGTGACATGTATATTAAGATAACAACAGCAAACGATCCAATGGGATTTTAGATAGAGGGCCAAAAAAACTAAACAAGTATTTGGAATTAGAATTAATGTAACTGATTATTTATCACCTAGACAAAGAATATATACATGCATTTTTACGCTTGTAAAAATGAATACATAAGATTGTCTTGCAGTCCGATTGACCGACCTCCAGAAATTATTCACAATTGAAAATTAAAACCAACCAAGATGATCAAGAATAAAAAGACAGAGGCGTCCACAAGCTTCTAAGGTACCATGAGAATCTAGAATCTTCTAGAAAGGATGATATTGTCGCTATTGGGCTTGATATATGATTATTTAGACTACAGAAGAAAATGGCAAGATGGTCTTAATTGTTTTCTAGGTATTTATCAGTATCGGGTTGTGGAAATTGTTAGGCTTTGACTGAGATCATAAATGGATCAACATTAGACCACCACTGAAAACATGAAAGCACTGAACGGTCGTTTTGTCATAGCATTGAGACTTCTCAGCAGTAAGCATCTACGGTCACGCACGCAGGATTCGAACACAAGACCTCCAGTTTTGCGCGCGAACGCTTAATCTCCAGACCACCGGACCGGCATTCAACGGTGTTAATCTCTAATTTAAACCACTCCACAACATTGAGCGACCGTACACCACTGTCATTAGTGAGTAACTCTCACGCCAGACACGGACGAAACGGCCGTCCGGTGCTTCTAGGTTTTCAATGGTGGTCTAACATCGGTTCATGTATGATCTCAGTCAAAACTCAACAATCTCCATAACCCTACATTGATAATTATCATGCGCTCACGAGTGACCAGCTTCAAGATGAATTTCATGGAGTTCTATTGAGAAGCTGATACCAGTGGAGTTCAACCGTGTCTGGTGTGAGACAGTTACTCATTGAAGACAATAGTGGACGGTCGCTCAATATCTTGGATTGATTGAAGTTAGACATTAGCACCACTAGATGCCGACCGGCTCAGTGGTTTTGAGGTTAAGCATTCGCGCGCGAGATCGAAGATCCTGGGTTCCAGAAATCTATCAAAGTTTAATTTTAAAACATTTTCGACTTTTAAGGGATCAATCTCAGAAAATTATTGAAAACTAGTAATCACTGTCAATTGTTTCTTTGTAATACAGACCTCCTCAGCGAATTCCACCTACAGCATTAATGAAAATGAAACCCGAGACCTTCAAGTTTAACGTCCAGTCCATACCTTTTAGACTAACTACAAGGACAATTTTCCAATACAGAAGTTAAAGTTTTTCGTTAGATGTAGTGAATTTATTGAAGTTAAGCATTTACACTGTTTAATGAAAAACCAGTAATCTAAAGATTCAATACCTACTATGAGACCTGAAGATTCTGGTTTCGTCGAATATGTGGTTGTATACCCAAACTGCTCAAGAACTGCGTACTAAGACGAGATAGATATCCCGTGGTTCTTCGTTTTCATCTGCCGTTAGAGTAAAATCAGTTTGCGATATAAATTATGGAAATTTAACAATCTCTGTAAACCCCTCTGGCACTAATTATGGACTGATAACTAAAATGTAGATTACAAAAATATTATATGTACCGCTAACTAAAACAATCCATTGAGTATGATGTAAATAGTTTGGTTATTCTATTTTTTTTATCTTGAATATTTCAAGTTAATAATCCGGAATACAACATCCCTAGAGTTGAAAACCTTTCTTTCTTCATTGATTTTCGCAAGATAACGAATTAAAAAGAACACAAATCAGCTGTAATTGTCCTTAAAAATCGTAAGGTCTCAAAATAATTAAAGGAACCTTCTAGCCGATTTTCCTTCTAGCCAATTATGATAGTAGCTAGTAGTCGAACACAGAACGTGCGTTTCTTCCTTTTTGGGGACCAATCAATGCTCAGAATGCATGCAGACTTTCAATTCTAAACCATAGCATCAACAACAGGAAGATCCAAACCTTTACAATTAAAATAAAACTACCTAGTTGCTTTTATCAAAAACAGACGAAACAATTAAATAATCAAACGAGACTGATAGGTCGTGGGTTCGAATCCCGCGGGGCGGAGTCGTGGATGTGCACTGCTGAGGAGTCTCACAATGGGACAAAACGGCCGTCCAGTGCTTCCAGGTTTTCCATAGTGGTCTAGCTTCAATTGACTCATGATCTCAAGTGTTGAAATATAAACACTTTTTTCAAGTGTTGTTTCAGAATTGATCAATAAGTCTATTGGAAGATTATTGTGAACCAGAGAGTTCCTTAACAGTAAACATCCGTAATCTCATATGAAACGTTGAAACTAGGACACGATGACATTAGATCACTGAGTTAGAATTTAGCGGGTTTTGTAATATAAATGTAATCAATTTACAACATTACTTATCGATGACTTAATACCAGAAGTGAATCATATCCTACATAACTGAATTTTATCACTTAAAACGTCTCAGTGAAATTTTTAGAACTCTTGTTGAAAATATTCATCATACAGAACGTCGTTATTATGAGTAAGAGGTTGAGTGAAAAATGACGAGGAGTTTGAAGGTCTAGAAAATGTATTATTATTATAAATAACTGTGTTGAAATTGTATGATCCCAAGATCTGGTATATGTTGAATAGAACTGAATTTGAAATGTCATAAAAGTGATCGAATTCCGTCAACACAAAAAACTTGGTAGATTAATTAAATCTACCAAATAGAAATGTTGATATTTCCAGTAAACTTATGCAAGGAAAGTATTGTCTAGAGTTTCGATGCATATCCGAACATTTTTGTTATGTAACATCATATTAATTCTCATTGAATACAATTAAATTAGTTAACCATAAGATTGCTAGGGTTGAAGCTATCACAAGTTCACTTAATCTGCGAACGAGAAGCAAGACTTGGTGACCAAAGACCAGTAAGCTAGCTATTGATGCGTCCCAGCCCCGTTAACTAGAGGAAGAAGTCCAAGCTTGGAATGGGGAAGTATATTCTGCAAACAGCCAGAAACGAGCGATAACAACAAACACAATTCAAAACGTATATATACAGTACAAAACCGTCCTTGGGGAGAGTTACCAAATACTAAAAGACGCAACGGACAAATAGCATTTAAGATATTTCCCAGTGGGTAATACAACATGAAAGTGACAAGAGTGCTTTCTGTGCAAAAATAAAGAAATTCAAATTTTCTAAATGAAATTACATAATTAGGTCATTTCCAAGTGAGTTCTGGGGATCTAACTTGCCCAACAAAGATATAGAGTTATGTTTAATAATGTAATTACAAGTAACAGATGCCGTTGTACAAAACGGTCAGTAAAAGAATCATTTGATCTTAAACAATCATATCTATACAGACACTTTTCTTTAGGTTAACAACTAAATTTCTATAGTTGAGATTCTGAATCAATTGAAGCTTGACCACCATAGAAAACATAAAAGCATTAGATGGCCGTTTCATCCATTTGAAATTACTATAATATCCACAAAAACCTCTTCTGATACCAAATTAAATTTCTATTAGAGATTCATTAATAGACATTGCTCTACTGAGAAACTCAATAATCTCAATTAAAATTAGTTATACACAATTCACTTAAGATATTATCGAAAGTAAATATGTGATCGTTTATATCAATATAATTGAATTGTTTATCAACAGACATCAAAACTGTCAATAACTAGACGTTGCTATGATAGCAAAAAGAGTATTTAACTAATCAAAGAATTTTCATAATGAGGTTAAGATTGTCGAATTTCATTGAAATCACGAACCTGTTTAAGTTAGTCCACCATCAAAAACCTGGTAGCACTGGATAGCTGTCTTATCCTACTATGGGACTTGACGTCCACAAACACGTAACTGGGGCTCGAACCCAAAACCTTCAGGTTTTTAGAATGCAACTACGAACTGATAAATATCACTTAAGAGAATTTGATATAAAGAGCGTTTAAACTCAATTGTAACTAACACGTTTATCGATTCCAAGAAAATTATGTCATCACCGTGTTCTTGAAACGTTTAGAAAAAAGAAACTCAAAATACATTTTTTTAAAGGAATGCTTTTAAGCATTAATAATCCAGAATCTGGGATTTAAATGGTTTTTTTAAAAAAATTTAATTTGGGCATCATCAAAGTTTCCCAAATCTTGTAAGAATGTAAAAACAAACTAAGAAATTCTAGAAATACATTAAAGTAAAACAAACAAAAAAAAAACCAAGAGGGGAGAATTCACAGAAGAATTTGAGTAAGTCAATAAGTGAACGGGGTAAATATTTATTTGAGTTAAGGCAGATAGAAATAATCACTGTTGCCTGCCTGTCTGTACAACCTCAATTAGGGTTGAATGTATTTACATTTCTTACTGTTGTGTGGATATATATATGCACACGAATGTAACCAGGTCTCTTTTTTTTTTTTTACTTTCCAACCGAAAATACACATTTTATTTTCATCTTCTCTCCTTAATAATAATTATATGGCTCATTTTTATCATCCATACATCTCTGTCTTATTTTCTATCTCTTTATTTTGAAATTCGCCTACATAAATAGGTAGACATAGTTGACGAATTGTCCATGATCATAAACACCGAGACACTGAGCTGATATACGATACACATACTACTATTACTACGACTACTACTAGTACTACATGTTTATATACATGTGTATATGTATGTGTACATCAATACATATGGTTAAATACAAAACATATATGTATCCATGACTCACAAACAGATTTTAGATGCTTCTATCTGATTCTTTTCTTTTTCCTTGTTTTTGTTGTTTTGGTTAATCTACTTGTATTTCATTAAATCTTTCTGATCCATCACTAATTTCACTATCTATACACTTTTGTAAAAAAAAATGATTTTGATTAAGATATGAAACAAAAATTGTTCATCAGTTCTGGGAGAGAAAAAAAAACCCCACGAAGTACTAGTACACATTGATTTAAAGACAGATAAAGAAAGTCTTAATTGACAAGACTATATGTTATTGTATAATACAAATTGAAAGGATCTCTTTAATTACAATTACTGTGATTGTTATATCAAATACATATGTATATATATCTTGAATAATTTGTGGATTCATGTCAATATAATCTCCATTGAAGTGTCGAAGAGTGATTATCTATATCTATATCTGTATATATATATACATAAAACTTACATTTAATACAACAAGAAGTAAGCTTATATTCCTTACATACCATGTAATATGTTTTATAGTATTACTATAATGAATCATGTTTGCAATTCATTGAATAGGTTCATGTTGATTTTAAGTTAAAATAAATATCTTCTGATAAAGTACAGGCAGTCAGTCAGTCATATGATTATGATTTGTGGCTTAGTTAGACTTCTATTTGAAGTTTGTATTGATGATGTCGTTCAAAAGAACGATAAAAGCTCCACAACTAAACTATCTAGCTCAGAGAACAAAACTCTGTTATAATTTGTTGTTTAAATGCTTATTGTTTTGGCTCTTGTACTGCTACTTTACGTATGTGGTCGTCGCTGATTATTATGTCGGAAACGTTTATCACTTATATTCGAAACGAGGGACCTCTGCAATTCTCATGACTGGTATAAGTGATGATTTATTAACCCCAAAACACGACGACAACGACGACGATTTTAGTCGAAAATACACTCATTCATATATTGATTGTATACCCATTTTGATTAATAATTAGGATGTAATCACATATATGAAACATACTTAGAGTTATAACAAATCACAGACTGTGAGCATAGTTCATGTCAATGGAATACAAGAATATCTCGCATATTATACAGAAGAAAATATCATATTAGGAAAAGAAAACAACTACTACATTGAGTAATCATTACATTGAATCAAAGTGGAAGTAATCTTGAACAAAACTCATAATGAGTAAATCAATCGATAATTGACTTTTGTTAGAGTTTTGTTCTCTGAGCTGGATGATTTGGTCGTGGAGCTTTCATCGTTCTTCTGAACGACATAATCAGCACAAACTTCTCTTTCCATCATATGAAACTCTATCAAAGGCAGTCAGTCACCTTATTGACTTCAAGTACTAACAGTTGATGAATTTTTACCATGGATTGTATACCATATGCATACATTGTAGTTCATCTTAAATGTTTGATTGTGCTTTTCTACATTTCAATGAATATTGATTAATCTTAATGTGATTCGTTTAGATGAGTTAAGAATTTTGAGCATCAAAGTGTTAGTTAGAAAAAAATTGATAACATATTCTAGTTGTTATGTACTATAAACTAAATAGTTTATACTGGTTGAAATCATGAGTCAATTGAAGTTGAAACACCATGGAAAACCTGGAAGCACTGGACTGCTGTTTCGTCATAGTATGGGACCCCTGAGAAGTGCGCATCCACGGTCCCGCCCCCCGCGAGACTCGAACCCAGTACCTATCAGTCTCGTGCTTCCATGTTTTCCATGGTGGTCTAGCTTCAATTGACTGATGATTTCAACCAGTGAAATATATTACATCATTAGAAAAGTATAAAATTTATATTCCTTTGTTACATAACAGTAGGGATTTGATAGTTGATTTTAATCGGCTTAATAAATTCCTTTCCAAAAAGATCCAGAAAATAAAGATTTGATATATTGTGTTACATAATATACCTATTTTACTCAATAGGCATTTCAATAATCCTTTAAAACTAAAAGAGAAACATAACATCGGTTTTTATGTGTTTTTTCGTTGTCGTCGCCATATCATTGATTATGGCTTCTCACTAGAACCTTTGAAATTACTTCTTGTATCTATTCATCAGTAAACATTATGGTAATTTTTATTCTATGATATTATAAACATAATTGAATGATGTTGTATATATCATGAACTACGTAACAGTAGACTTGAAAGTTACGAGTTTGATCACCATTTAAATTTGTGTATCTGCCCTGTTGAGAAATTTCATACTAGATAGAAACGGTTGTTCAGTATTTTGCAATTTCCAACAGTCGCTTATTATAAAATTAATCCATGAAGTCAATTAGAAGAATTCCATAACACTCCAGACATTTTATTATCATCAAAATTCCATCGGGTTTCACACACATACAGAATTAAAATTTAGAAAAGTATATCCTGGGACCATCGAGTAAGTAATGCAGTTGTTAAGAAACGGGTACTAGGTAAGAATGACAAATCATTTGATGAAGTGGTGAGACTTCATCATTTGAGATGGCCGAGACACGTGTTACGTATGCCCAACGACCGACTGCCTCGACGTGCGATGTTCAGTGGTATAGGAGTAGGTTGGAAGAAAGCTAGGGGCGGCCAGACCAAAACATGGCACAAGTCCATGAAGTCACTGACAAGTGGACTGAGTCATGTTGGTTGGTGTAGACTATATGGTTGGGGACCGCGAGATGATGGCAATCGATGGTTAGATACCTTGAATGACATGGCTTAAAATAGTTTGCAATGGCGCAGGTGCATACACTCTTTGTGTTCTCCCAAATTTTGATCTCCTTATTCCTCCTTGTCTCTTTTTTTCTCTTTTCAAATTTATTTCACTGGATTGTACTACTTGAATAACATCTTCAAACCCTAATTTTTCTGATTACAGCTTATAATTTTACTAGATCTAGCACTACGGGTTTTATATCGACCACTGCATCTCTGTGTTAATGTGGTGTGGCAACTCTAACTGATGTACGTACGTACGAAGTTCTACGTTGTTACTGACTGACTGACTGAAGTAGCAACAAATAGAAATTGAAAAATATATTGTCGTATTATATCACATGACAAAGAAACACTAGCGTATATTTGTAAAGAATAGTTGGTTACGATTATCTTGAATAATGATTAAAAATATTAGATAACATGGTACAGTGTTATGGTTTATTTATTTAAACACTTATGCATTAGTACAAGGAGGCAACAAATGGATATGCGCCACACAAACCGAATGATTTATGTGAGGGCTGAGATACTGCTCGGGTGCTCAAACTGAAGCGGGTGGTTTTCTCGGGGGACACACCGCGAGCCTTTGATCTAAAGTCCTGACCCACAAGGCGATGGAGCATCGTGAGCAGATGCAGTTCCATGTTAGCCGGTGACCAAAAATAGACTCATAGGCTTTTTGTTCCCTCAGGATACTGGAGCCCATTTGCACCATTGGTTTGGAATCAGGGTGTTCCAACTGCACTAGGTGGACTTACCGTGTCCACCGACCCGGTTAAAGTGCCCGACATTCTCTTTTCGTCCTCTCAATTTCGTAAACAGCACCCGTTGTGCGAGAAGGCAATGGGTAGGACTTTCCTGACAGAGGCTGTAAACGCATGACCCTGTGAGAGCATTTCGAGAGAGAGAGAGAGCTGACCCTCCCCACTCTCAGCCGTACTATAATATTTGGGAGCAGCGTTATGGCTACGGTATCCTATATGCAGGCACACTATTTGTTCCACAACAAAATCTTGAGTTCTAAAATTAAATTACACTATCGATTCTTCGAATTGATCTTTTCTTCTGGAATTATGTTATATACACCTAACGTTGTTAACTACCACTGACAATGTTAATTATAATACTACTTACTGCTCACACTACTACTACTACTACTACTACTTCTAGTACTCTCGAAATGGTCTTGATAATTTCATCGTACTGTGTTGATATTTTGTGGCAATTTGAACCGATGTAAATGTTTTGCATTCTACGCTACTTACAACTGTCTGACTTTGTTTTGCTATTCAGTTTATTAAACGTATATCATATAAAATGATTAAGGTTAAACATTAACACTGTTGGATGCTGGCTCAGTGGTCTAGAGGTTAGGCGTTCATGCGCGAGACCGAAGGTCCTGGGTTCAAGTCCCATGTGTGGGATTATGAATACACTCTGCTGAGGAGTCCCATCCTAGAAAGAAATGGCCATCCAGTGCTTCCAAGTTTACATTGGTGGTCTTACTTAGATCGATTTGTAATTTCAGTGAAATTCAACGATCTCCACACCACATTCATAATAGGATACTTTCTCGATATATTCATTTTGACTGTTGCTTTTGTCTCATGCTAACCACTTGACAATAATCTTAATTTCTATACTTTTCCGGCATTAAGCTGTAATACTGCATGCTAGTAATCATTGATAATGATATAACAGAGTTATTCTACGAAGGCTGAACAGTACGACTTATTATATTTGATTTTAATATACCAGAAAACTTTTTAACCAAAATGTAGCCCTCATTTTAATAGTTTAGTATTAACATGATAAATAACTTACTTTCACTCTCTGGTCGGCGGCCTATGCTCCACTGGGAGTAACAGGCGTAAATAAAGTAAGTAAAAGTAACACGAATGTTGCCAATCGATTGAAGTTAGAAATGTAAACCGTTGGATACCAAACCAACAGCTTAAAGACTAGACATAAAGACTTGATTTTGATCCCCTCTAAAGTCGTATATGAGTATTTTGGGGAAAATATTGAACTAGAATCAAACAGTTGTGGATGGTTGTTAAACTAGAGTCAGTTTTAAATTTAAATGTAAGATTAATGCTTATACTAAATACTTTATTCACAACCACATGGCTGATACAAAGTTTTCTATATTCAAATATAAAACATACATCCTACCATATTTAAGAAATATCTCCGAAGCCAGTGAAAGTATTCTAAAGCCGTTTGGCAAGAACATCGCTCACTTCATTCCATTCTGTGCAGACCAAAAGGCATAACAGCTAGGGAACATCAATACAAAATCATTCAAAAAATGCGAGGAATATTTCAAATGCTAAAGTTGGTGCCCACTTAACATACGCGTGAATTAACATTGATTGTCTGTGGACCAACATGATATACTATATCACAGATATCAATCCATGCAGACAACCATGGATGCAAATTCGACTGGAAAATTTCAACATTCTCGATAGGAAAAATCCGAGAATCCTAGAAAATCTCCATAGTATGGCACTTAGATCAACTCTCAATCAACAGACACATCGATGTTGATTCAATCTATAAACCCATAAGGAAGAGGTCAATCAATCATAAAACCAGAGGTCAAACAACAAAGACACTCAATGTGAATCCACATGCACATGAATACGATAAAACCTACGAAGACAGACAGTCATGAACAAGGTCATCTGAATGAACTGGTTTAAAACTTGTGGGATAGCTAGGAAGTTCACTTATATATGAATTAGATGT